AGTCCTATGGCTAAATGGAGGGCCCGGTTGTAGTTCACTGTTTGGAAACCTAGAAGAGAACGGACCCTTTAAAGTGAATTCTGACGGGAAGACCCTGGTGCTGAACCCTCACAGTTGGAATACAGTGACGAATGTCATATATCTTGAATCCCCGGTTAGTGTCGGCTTTAGTTATAAAGACGACAAACAGTACCACAACACAGATAAGTCTACCGCAGAGGACAACCATTTAGCTCTCGAAGCGTTTTTCGAAAAGTTTCCAAATCTGAAGAAAAACCCATTTTATATAACGGGTGAAAGTTATGCCGGAATTTATATTCCAATGTTAGCCCATGAAATATTCAGCACTAAATCTACAATTAATTTAAAAGGTATTATTTAAAGAAGTTATTTGTTGTTTATTTTAATATAATATTAAATTATATAAATAGGTGTTGCAATTGGTAATGGACTTCTAGGAGATGCCCCTTTAATTCGTATGTCTGGCTATGACTTTAGTTTAGGCCATGGATTCATTACAACAGAATCCTATGAGAAGCTCATTGAGAATTGCTGTGAATGTAAATCAGGCGAAATCCTACATGAATGCGATTTTACTAAACCAGCGAATAGGACGTAAGTGACTATTACTATTAGTTTAACCAGCTAAATTCAAACTTAATTTTTATGAGACTGTATATAAATAATTTTATATAAGAAATTCTGTTGCCCTTTGGAATTCTCTATGTTAGTAAAACTAACGAGAATATGTTGTCAATTAATTCTATATTACCGTAGCATAAAACAATTTTCATACTCCTTATCTAGATAGAACTTTTAGATTCTTTAATATTTCCACATAACTTACTTAATTTTAAATTTTTCATTGAATGATATATTCATAGTAAATGTGAGGCAACAGAAGTGGAAATGTCTAGATCACCCAATCCATACAATGTTTACGATGATTGTGGCGCTAATTCCGCTTATTTGCGACTTTTCAACAAATATTACGCAAAGGCTACCAACAGATTACCAGTCAATGAAAGACCAAATATTAATTGTCCGCACGAGGGTTATGCAGATTACCTAAACATACCAGAAGTACGTAAAGCACTGCACGTACGCCCTGAGGACACCCACCACTGGTCTGATTGCGGCGGATCCTATGCGGGGGTGTCTACAGACCAAAGACCTATTATTATGGATTTGATTAATAAGTATAATATCGGAAAACTTGTCATATTTAATGGAAACTTCGATCACAGTATGTGCGATCACATTGGTAATAATAGATTTGTTGATAGTCTCGCATTTAAAAAAGATGGACACTATAGGTATGATAACTGTAATAAGTTTCTTATTTAAAAAATAAAAATCTAAATTATAAATAATTGTAGTGAATGGAAAACCCCTGATGGTTTTATTGGTGGATTTGTGCAGCACTACGAGAAAAACCTGAGTTTCGTGTTAGTCCGCGGGGCCGGACATATGGTCCCTCACGACAAACCAGAGGCTGCCCTACAGTTACTCAAGAATGTGATCGGAATCACACAGTTTTAAGTGTTATTCAAAGAAAGATATATTAAGATCTAATAAAAAATAATAAAATTTATTAAAACTAAAATTAATGTTAATTAAAAATTTATATATTTTAGAAAATAAAATTATATTTAAACTAAAAATTTTGTTTAAATATATTGATAAAATTCAATAGAATTATTCATTTAAAAGTTTGCACGTACATATTGTATAATACAAAGTAATGAAATAAAAACAATAAATTAGATTAAAAGCATTTACAAACTTCTAAGAAATTAGAAGTAATGATCCCCCAGACTCTCAAAACGATTAATTATTAACACTTTAATCGACATTAAAAGTGGATTTCAATGTGATTTTGAAATTAATGGTTTTATTTGTGAGAGCTTTTATCTAATGATTGGAGTGAAGTGGAAATATAATCATCATTTAAATCTCGATTTATGACAATTGGCATTGAATTCAGATATATATATAAATTTATTTAAAGTCAAATCATACATTTCAGTTATAATATTATAAAATGATTTCAATCAAAGGTTTTATGATTTTTTCAGTATTTATACTAAACTTATGTTTAGTATTTGCAGCGAATGAGGATGAAATCAAGGATCTTCCGGGTCTTCCACAAGCTATTCATTTCAAACAATATTCCGGTTATTTGAATATAACTGAAGGCAAACATTACTTCTATTGGTTCGTTGAAAGTCAAAAGGATCCCGAGAATGCACCGGTAGTCCTATGGCTGAATGGAGGGCCCGGTTGTAGTTCACTGTTTGGAAACCTGGGAGAGAACGGACCCTTTAAAGTGAATTCCGATGGGAAGACCCTGGTGTTGAACCCTCACAGTTGGAATACTGTGGCAAATGTCATATATCTTGAATCTCCGGTTAGTGTCGGCTTTAGTTATAAAGACGATAAGAAGTATCACAACACAGATAAGTCTACCGCAGAGGACAACCATTTAGCTCTCGAAGCGTTTTTCGAAAAGT